TTTAAAGCAAATCTTTATGATGCAGATAATTAATGCAAATTGATTTTTTTATATTTAAGCTTCTTATGTGTATTGAAGAGTGGATGAAAATATTGATCTAGCTAACCATTGTGTCTTCTGATTTGATTCCTAATTTTCACTTGAATAAAGTTTCAATGGAAAGATAAATGGTCACGATGCTGATAAAGACTGCAAATTGAATTTATCTGTTTGGGCCTAAAATGCATACATGAAGCTGTTAACTTATTGATAACTAATTGTCTCTTTTGGAATGTAATGGTCTTTCCAGGAAATGGAACATTATTTAAGCATATGTAGTTGTAATGCAAGAGAGAAGTTATACATTTAGTTAATATTTCCTATCGAAGTAGGCACTGGATGTTTAAGTAAAATATCGAGTAATAATTTGCAAATTAAGTGTTTGATGCTTTAAAAGTGGAATTTGAATGGGATGTATTGTACAGATTGATCCTGCTCAATCAACTAAAATCAAAGCCTTTGGTCTAATAATCCTTTGGTCATATAATTAATCTTATTTAGTTGGACGTGTTGGTCTAGCGCAATGTATAATAACTTCCCAGGGAATCATTTAGTACTACTTGCACACATTTTCATAATATTCCACCCTGTTATAAGATTCCGTGACTAGTCTAGGCACTTGTCATTTCATTGTGCTGAAGCTAAGAGTGCATTTTGTATCAATAGAATCGATAGATAGGTTGCAAATGTTTTTTAAGAGCTAGGGTTGTTGATTGTTCCTATTAGTTGCTGATTGTTGCTTTTAGTGTGCTTTGATCCTTGTAATTAAAACATTTTTTGGACTGCTGACAATGAAAAGGTTTGCTTCCATGTATAACTTGTTTGTCACAGCGACCTTTCAACGAGCGATGGAAAATGATTGAGAAAGAGGTGATTGAACCTCGGGCTTGGTCCCAGAGCAAAAACCGATACACACACGAAATGGAACCCTTCAGTGTAATTTTTTTATGTGCTATAGGCAGGTTAACTTTTGCATTTTGAGATCCCTTATTGCTGAGTGATTTGAGTTCTTGGTTCTCCCAAATCTTTGACAGGTCAGAAGGAAAGATTTTTGGCTCCTCTCTGTAGTCACGAGACTTTTGAAAAAGTTCATCCCAACTCTTTCACATGCAGCAGATGGCCTCATTTTTCAGGTTGTTCCCTCTCCGACACCTATTTTGTTTGCGGCATATGGGTTCTAATGATTTCTAATGCCACAAAGAATGTTCAAGTGCAAAAAATATGCATGTGGCTGGAGGAAGAGGTAGACATGAGAGGACTTGGCAAGCATTGATCAAGGGAGACCTTCGCGTGTACAATCTCACAGCAGATATGATACACGATAGGGCGCAATGGCGTCGTTTGATCAATGTAGCCGACCCCACCTAGTGGGATAAGGCTTTGTTGTTGTTTGCTATACCCCCCCCCCCCGTTTAACTTGATTGTGTCCCAGTGTCTAATGTTTCTATAATTTATGACTTTCTAATTGTTTTAACTTCTGAAACAGGGTTGGGATGACCCGTATGTTACGAGGACTCACGAGGGCCTCCTGAAGTGGAAATATCCAGAGATGAACTCTGTTGATTTCCTCTTTGAGGTTTTTACTACTATTCCTTCATTGCTGTGAATATGGCACTCTTTTGTGTTTAATCCGGGATCATCATTTTTTATCCCCTGACTGAAGGTGGTTGATAATCGAGAGCTACTTTATTTGAATGAACGGGGAAAGAAGAAACTTTTGGATGGAAACAGGGTTGTGTTTCCAGGTCAGATGCTTTGTCGTTCTATCTTGTGAGTTGTGACACACGGGTGATACTCAGGCAGTCAGGCTATTATGTCAAAACTAGATGCCCGGATAGTGATGATTTGCATATCATCTTAACTCATGAAACCTACTTATATTTGTTAGTTCAAACGTTTAACCAAGCTTATAAATAATATGAAAACATAGTTTGGCTTATGAAATTTGAGTATAATTTTTTTTAACAATAAATAAAATAAGGAGATTCCTTTGGGACGGGGAACAAAGAGAGCACTCTCATCAGTTTCATGTCCAACTCTTTGTGTTTATGCTTTATTATTTGTATATGGTTTTATTTTTTCTCTGCATTTTTTCAAATTAGTCCCTCTTCAAATGTTGCAGATTCTCCTGACCCATCAGAGTTCTCGGGTAAAATCATTGAATGCTCTTGGGATTCTGATAATCAAGTGTGGGTGTGCATGAGGGTTAGAGTAGATAAAGGAACACCAAATGAATTCAATACATATCGGAAGGTATATCTCAAATAGACTCTTTTTTTTTATATACATTTCATATTACCCGTATTTAGACTCCGTTTTTTCCATATGAAACTTATTGAACATAACCTAACTGAACTGAAAATAAGTTAAAAAGATTGGAATCGTTATAAATTGATATCCATCAGGTTATGATATATGTTAATTAATTGTTGTCTTATGAATCAAAATCAAACACAGGTAATGAGAAGTATCAAAGACAATATCACGGAGGAAATCCTGTTGGCTGAGATTCATGATATCGTCAGATTGCCAATGTATGCGGATAGGATTGAGTCTGAAAGGCAAGCTCACCAGCAATCTTCACGCCGAAAAGCCGCTAATGCTCAAGAGTTTCCATCTGTCGGAAACTAGTAATAAGTAGATGTGGCATTTCGTGTTTAGAGAGTATCAATTGTGTGCTCTGCTTATGTATACAAACTGCAGGATTTAGCTATAGCATCTCATGTATATTAGTTGCTTCATACACTAGCCATTTGTCCAAGGGGTCTCTAGTGAAATTATCTGAACTTCACTTTGCTTGTGAATATGATCTCCAATATCAACTGAATTTAAGTTTAGTGGTAATTTGTTCCCTTGTGTACGTTACCCCCCCCCCCCTCCCAACCCAAACCAAAACCCAACCACAACACACACAAGATAGTATTTGGATAGAATGTTGAACCCATGTAAATGTAATCGATTACTCTATTCCTTGAGAAAATGTTACTCCTATAATCCTATTTATAATGTTATATTTTGACAATTATCTCTCGATTTTTGAGCACATGGTTTAAATGCAATCAATTACTCTGTCCTAATTGTTTGCTAAAGCTTACTTTGCAGCAGTATTTTTTATATACCCCAGTAGTTTTTAAATACTCGTATGTGAATTTTCATTTTTTTAATTTGATTTCAAATTAATTTAATTAAAAAATAGTTCAATGGAGGAAATAATTGCTATACTCATCATTGCCCACAAGTCCAAGAATACACATCCAGAAATACTAATTTCGCTGCAGTAGTTTTGAACCGTGCAAACCAGGGACCAGTAGCATTGATAGAAAGATCGACCAGGCGACCCATTTTTGGTCCGAAGAATTACAAAATTAAAGAAATCTTATCTTATTTATGTTTGGTCAGGAGAGTAGTTCTTTTCTTTATGGAGTATAATTTTTTTGTTTGGTTGTGAAAAAAATAGTAGAAATCCCACTTTGAAAATAAAAACTACATTTTGGGACGGAGATGCAAAGATAAATACTCTATAGTCTTTCTGATTACGATGTTGGTGGAAAATAATACCTTGCTCAGTCTACATTTTTCAAATAATTATAAATATCGGTCAAAATGGGCCTATTAAATAAAAAAGAAGGAATAGAAGAAAATTCTCCTATGGATATAAAAGAAGTTTCAATCCCCCAAGTGAGGGGATGCCATATTTCACTCCCCTTCTCTTTTATTCTACTACCTCCGTTCCATTTTATAACGTCTGTTTCGGTTTACAATGTTTGACTGAAATTATTTTCAAACCATTTTATATGACAAATGGTATAGAATTAAAAAATAAAAATAATATATTTAAAAACTATATCAAAAGATCTACAAAACTAGTAGTGACAATAATATTTTATTTTATCAAATTGCTAACGAAAATAGAGAAAGAAAGTAAATGAAGTTTGACCCTGTGAATAGTAAACATGCATTATAATTTGGGACGGAGGGAGTATCAATCAATAACTTTCCCCGCTTCTCTCATAATTTATATTTATAGATAGAGAACCTCATCTTCCTCAAGAAGCTTGAAATTTCTATTAATGACTTCTAAACCAAAATTATATAATGTGTGCAACCTACGATGTATAATAAATCTTTCTATTGGCAACTTGGCATGGTACCACTGAAAATTGCCATAATCTAAGCCCAATTAGATTTCCTCATAAAAATTTATTTGTTGGTAGATAATATACTCTTTCATGTTTGTTTTGGCTTTATGGAAGTTGTAACAAACATACAACATAAATTAAGAGTTCCATGTGTGGCTACAACTAAATTAAAGATGTCCTTTGTAGCCTCTTGTGGAAGAAAAGTATGAGTACCTCTGCTACCTCTACAAGTATAAGTGGTACAACAATAAGTCCACACAACAAACTTGTGATGTACCAAGGCGTCACATACAACTACAATGAAGATAACGAAAGTGAGTTCAATGTTCTCAAATGGGGGAAGCGAAATGACCACATCTTTCAATCATTTAGGATGCTAGCTCGACATCTGTTATCTATGCTGGTGTCAACGATAGCCGTAGAACATCAGTTTCGTTTTAGTGGTAATATTTTGACCGATTTCTAGAGTCGCCTCAGCGCTGAATCACTAGAGACTCTAGTTTGCAGCCGAGCTTGGCTCTTGACGAAGCGTCAATGACAAGAGGCAGGTTATGACATCATCAACCAAAACTATATGGATGCAACCATAGAGGCAAGAGGTAGTTCGAACTACTGACTTACTTAGCTTTATTTAAAAGTTCTAAATTAGTTTTTTAAGCGATCGATTTATCGAGGGTTTCTTTACTATACTTTCCTTTATCGATTTTTTTGAACCGCCGTGACATAGTTGATACTTATGTACTATCCATTTTTCATTTTTATATTTGCCAAAAAATTTAGCTATAAATATATAAAAAAACCGTCAGTTTCAAAACCAGATACGGACCGCTAACATTGCTTCAGCTCATAAATTTGACTCCCAATTTTTTATCATCATCAACAGGCGAAGGAAGTACAAGTGCAAGCTCATCAATCATGGAGAAGCCGCTGTTATCAGGTAAAGCTGCAATCTCCTTGTTCCATTTTCCACTTTCATCCAGTGGATTTTATCTAATCGATCCTTGGCTGTCTTGTCCGGAACAGGAAAATCGGAAACCCTAAGTAGCGAGCAGGGAGATAGTGAAAGATGGAGTTCATCGTACGCGTTTGCTGGAAAGGAAGTCAGCGTGGATGAGATTCGATCTGCCGCGGCTGCTGCAGCCTCCATTTCCTACCCTCCTATCCCCCTTACTCCGCCCTTGATCGGCTTTCCCCAATCCCATCACTATGGTAATTCTTCTTCCTCTATGTCTTTTTATTAGATGTGGCAAATATTTATTTTTGACCCGAAATCCGGCCCGAGGTTGCAAAGGTTTTGTTAACGAACCCGGACCGGCCCCCCTAAGAGAAGGTTAAACTTGTTCGAATCTGAACCCGATCTGCCTGATCTGTTAAAGTAATTTTTTTTCGAATTCATGTACAACAACAACAACCTAGTAGAATCACATGAGCAGGATTTGGGGAGTGCGTGCACGTAGACCTTACCCCTACTCAAGCATTCAAAATCATGTACATTAATATGATAAGTAATGTGATAAAATTTATTATTTTTCTTATAACTCTTTTTTAGCATTACAACTTATCTTTTCAAATGAGTTTTTAATGATGGTTTGTTATTTATTTATTTATAAATTGTACTCCCTCCGTTTCTTAAAACCCTTTCTCTTTCATTTTTTTGTTTTTCTTAAAACACTTCCCCTTTCTATTAAAAAACACTTTTACCCCTACTTTTTCATACCCTATCACATCATACTTTTTCACTAACAACTAAACTATCACATCTTACTTTTACCCATCACATCAAGGGCAAAATTGGAAAGTCAACTACAATTTAACACTTCCTTATTTTCCCCCAAAGTCAAAAGAGGAACTCTTTTGAGAAACGGAGGTAGTACATATTTAAATTTTTTTACTCCTTTAATTATTAATTTTGATATTTTATTCTTATTTTAATGCAATTTTCAAGTGCGAGTATGAACTATACAATCAAGTGCGTCATCCTTAGCATTAAAGAGGCCCGTTTAAGGTTATGATCAAACATTTAAAGTTGTTTGATCAGTGTTTGCAAAAGACTTCATTAGTTAAGCTGTGAACTTTGGTTTCTTAAGCTAGGCATTGATGGGAATCTTCAACTATACACATTGAGGAACGAGTTAGGGTCTTAAAGATATACTCCGTATTTGATAAGCTTTCGAGAACCAGCGCAACGTCTTTGGCACTTGCGGTTATGACATACTCCATATGTCTTTTGTGACTCTTTTCAACTCCTCCGTCTTTGCAATTGCCCATTTAAATCTACAAGCCATGAAGTTCGGTTCCATATCACCCGAATTGTACATGAAATAGTTTTATGATCACACATGACCACATGTTCTCATATGAAATTTACCCTCTAAACCAAGCATTGGTACGTACATGTTTGGAACATTCTGAACTCCAGTGTGCAGATGACCCACATTGTTATATTGTTTTTTGGCAAATGGTGGGGCTCCATAGTGTTAGATGAAGAAATCTCAATATGTTAGGGATTGGCTAGATTCTTCATGTAAATCTGTAACACTCTTCAAGACTTCCTCATATCTCACTGTTGTTTTGCCCACTACCGAAGAGAACAAAGTTACTAACCCATCACGTGAAACTTGCACTTTATGTATGATAGAAATCTCAGTTGCTTCAGTTCTTGCATTTTTTGTCATTCAGTTTCAATTCAGAATTTTTTTATACAAAGAGAAAGAAAAAGCTCTTACACTATGTTTGGCTCAAGGAATTTGAGAGGGAAAGGAAAAGAAAATGAGAAGGAAAACATTTTTCTTGTTTGGTTAGAGAGGAAATGAAAAAAAAGTGGAAGGAAAAGAAAATGAAAAGGCAAAAGTACTAAGGGGAGGGAAAACCAAATTCCTCTTATTTTGGTGAGGAAAATGAGGGAAAACTATTTTCTTTTCTCTTGCTTTCAAATTCCTTGAACCAAACATAGTGTTAGTAAAGAAGCCCTTTCCTCATTATAATCTAACTTAGTCTAGTAAACCATACAAAGAATGTTGTCTTGCGATAAATTTGGTGTGGATTCTGACCCACGTTTGAGAAACGAGCGGATAAGCAAATTCTACAATGAGTCGATTTTGGCTAATAAGCTAGCGGCGGAATTAGAGGAATTGGCGGATAACCAAATTCTCCAAGGAGACGATTTTGATGAGATGGAGTGTAGATTAAGACACGCATTCTGGTGTCTGCAAGATAATGAGAAAAATGAGGCCATCAATGGGGAAGAAATTGTGAAGGTATTAGAGGGCATGTCGGATGTTGATCCTCACCCCTCTTCTAGACTTCTAGTTTAGTGGAATTCAATATACCCTAAAGGGGTTCAGAAGTATATTTTCCATTAATCTTGTTTCTTGACCATTGTTTTTGTAAAGAACATCTAACCATCAGGTCAACTTACATGTAAAGACTATGAACGTTATCATTGATGTTTTAAATTATGTTCAAATGCAATCTCCATTGAATTTAGACTGTCAACACATCCAATAGAAATTCATAGTCCTAATATCCATGCAAAAAAGACTTGAAATGGAGATTTGCTTCCATCAACACCTTGACCAGTCTCTAATATGTTCTTTTCTTGTTGTCGATTCTCTGTCTAAAACATGGTAGATGCATTATGCTGTCTTATACGAACTTGTACTACTGCTTACATACAAGTATTAGTGCATCTCCAAAGCAAATAGCTATTTTCATCTTTTCTAGTGCTATGATAATATATGCATTTTAACTAGTTCATCTCCACTAGCCAAGTTTGTTGATTCTTCAAGACTAGTTTTATTTTAGCTAGTAGATTAAAGAAATGTAGATAGGAGCAAAATGCCATTAAAATTTAAAAATAGGTGTGTCATTGTCTTTTATGTCCTAAATAGGAGTTCGAAAGTGTAAATTGTAGTAGTGTGATGGCAATATAGGGGTGTAATGGTGGAGTGTGGTGGTGGACCACCAGTCAAAAGTGGTCTGTGGTCAACACCGCCGACTAGCGGAGGTGCTCCGACGACTGGAGGCAGAGCTCCGGTGGCAATAGGGCATGACAGTTGGCAGTACGACAGTGTTGCAGTGGCACTGTGAACCTGTATTTAGGTCACAAAAAGAATGCTACTCTTATTTTGGTATTTTCATTGTCTTTTGCTTCTGTTTAGAGAGTTCTCCCAGTGCATTATTTATTATGGAGTAATTTTATATTTACTTATTTTGCTGCAGTCAACTGTCAGGGTGGATATTTTGGAGAAGTGGCCAGAGCTACTGGTGACATAAGAAGGTAAAGAATGATGCATTGTTAATGAACTTTACATTTTTATTTTTTTAACTTTTCAGTTTTTCACTTTCTCTTTTAGGAAATAAATATGTGAACATCTTCAATTCTCTCCTCTACATAAATTTCAATCACACAATTTTCACTTTTCACCAAAAATCATCCAGTTTTTTATATTTTCTCAAACTCCCTGAAGTCAATTCGTAAGGTTCTTATTAAGACGGAGGGAGTAAATAAATAAAATTTGGGTAATTTTTGGATGCCATTTTCTAATAATAGTAATTATAAGAGACAGACAAGTGCTAGATGAGGTAGAGATACGAGAGTTGCTTATAGATCAAGTTGGTCACCGTTGCTGTTGGGGAAGTCGTCCTGCTCGAACCTGGAAAATCCATGCAGTAGAGGACTGCAACGTATACGCCGGAACTCTTGACACTTTCATGGAAGAGAGGGAAACAACCACAGAAACAGAGCCATACTTTGGTGGCAGCATTGAAGGACATGATAAAAAACCTGAAGTGGGATTATGGGAATTGGATTTAAGGTCTGAATTTCCTGTCTTCTTCACACCTTATAAAGAATCACGTATAAGAGTTCCTCACTCTGAAATTATAGGAAAATGCCCCGGTAATGGCCAATTTATTTATCAATTTCTTTTTTGCTTTTAAAAAAAATCATGAAAGTGTCTAATGTTTGCCTTCTCTGAATATTTATTTTATATATACTATTGGCTTCAAAGGCTGTCATGGACGAGGAAGTGTAGTCTGTCCTACTTGTAATGCAGATCAAGATCCCGGATTCTATAGGGAAGGCCAAACGTCTCAATGTCCCATGTGTTATGGGAGAGGCCTTATTGCTCATAAAGATGGATCTGACACTGTGTTAGCCATCTCCCTATCTCTTATACTCTCTTTCTACTCACATTTTAAGTGACCATTATGTCATGAACATTATCAATGATTTGTTTTTGATCATTTACAGATGTCAAAATTGTAAAGGTAACGGAAAACTTTCTTGCGCCACTTGCGAGTCGCGTGGTCTGATGAAATGTCAGACCTGCCAGGGCAGTGGCTCCATGGTGTCACGCAAAGTTGCTGTGGTCAGGTGGAAGACGGTGTCGGCCCGGAAAGTGAGTGCCGCCAGCGGAGCAGCCTCAGTGCCGGACGACGTCTTCCACAGAGCTAAAGGAGTTGAGTTGTGGAACAACCAAGCAGCATACCAGTGCACTCCTGCCCATTTCTCAGACTCATATTTCCTCAACAGGTTCTCATCAGAAGTAATTGCAGAGAGGGGCCCGGTGCCGCCCCTTGCGAGGGTCATATGCGAGAGGCATGTCATATCTGTCGTCCCAGTGACACGCGTGACCATGACCGCGCATCACCGGAACCGCTCCTTCAGCTTCTATATAATTGGACACCGGAGGGAGGTGTACCTACGGGACACCGACTACCCTTCAACGTTTTGCTGGGGTCTGTGCCCTTGCTTTGATTGGTTGTAACCAATGTATACTCAGAGGTTGCAGCTTTTGCTGGGGTCTTAAGTAGCTGGGTTTTTGAAGGCTCTCTCACAAATGTCTTGAGGTAGTAATGGATATCTATTAAGTGGCTCCAGGGTTTTAGACTCATGCAGGCAAAGATGGCCATTATTGCCCTGATACCAATTTCTTAAGGTCGCAACTCTAGGATCTCGTCCAGTACGGATCATCGACTTTCTTCTTGCCGGGGCTTGCAAAGGGGAACAAGGTCGTGACTCGTTCCTAGAAAAATTGTGTTTGCTAGTGGCATTACTCTCTCTGTCCATAAATTTCTTTTTCCATTTGAGTGTTTACAATCTCTCATATAATACTAGCCCTGAAAAATGAATAAATAAAATTAGTCTGGTCCAAAATTTACATTTTGGGTCCTATTTTATTTTTTTAGAATACTTATGCTTTAAAATTAATGTTGAATTTAAAAATATGAGGCTCTAAAATTTTAGGGGGCCACCAATGCTTTGAATAACAAATGTCTCTATTTATATATAAATATATATGATAAAAAAATATAATATTTCAAAGTTATATTTCAAAATAAATATATTGATATTATATTTATATGATAATTATGAATATTTTTCATAATTTGTGGTCAAAATTTATAAAAATTTGACTACAAAAGTCAAACCAAGAAAGAAAGCTATGGACGGAGGGAATAGTTAGGGTTGTAAATGGATAACCGAAAATTCGATTACCGTCTGCATTCGTTTCTGTTTAAACGGGAATAATCTACATTCGTTTTAAACGGATATTATCTGTATCCTATTAAGGACATTTGATTACGAAACGGATACGGATTTTGTAATCGTCTATCCGATCCAATTAAAATCCAATTTTGATATACATTTGTTTAAATAACCATTTAACCAAATATCTGTTTATCTGAATGCCGAATTGAAGTTATTTTAATAAATGTAATCCTCTACTCAGTCCATTATACATTTACACTTGGCCCATATATCCAAAAATATATCTTACCCTTGTCTCTAACATTAGTGTCTTATCATTATTTTATAGAGTAATTGGTCGATTGTAGAAACTTTGATGTAAATTTTAAATATATAACATTCCTTTTTTTATTTTATAAAATTTTTTTAAATAAATTGAACTAAAATGAGCATGTCTAGCATATATCCTTTCGTAGTATTGTAAAGTTTGAACGAAAGGAGTATTGAATATAAAAGCATCATTTCCCAATCTTTAACTTAATAATACTTCACTGGTCCTATAAAAATCTACAAAAAGGAATACTTTAATTTATGAAAACCCATTGATCATAATGAAACAACAGCCAAAAAAGTATTGTACTTGTCATGTAATTTTTCATAATAAATAAAGTTAGTGATAAGAAATCGTGTACTTGAAATTGAGACAAGTCTGAGGACCCAACAAGAGACACAAATTGTGTATAGTGATAACATCAAGGTTTCCATAACATTGGAATCCAATGTCATGGGATGACCCGGGGCCGCTCCAGTGTTCTGTTCGTAAAATTAACAGTTCCTACTCCTCCTAACCCCCCCGGTAAACCCCCCACCTGGCCCCGACCCAAACACACCCCCCTACTCCGTCAATTGCACCCCACAAGTTGATTTTGACTTTGGAGTCAAATTTGACTCCAAAGTCAAAATCAACTTGTGGGGTGCAATTGACGGGGGTAGGGGGTGTGTTCGGGTCGAGGCCGGGTGGGGGGGTTTACCGGGGGGTTAGGGGGTAGGAACTATCAATTTTACGAATGGGGCATCAGAGCGCCCCCGGTCATCTCATGACATTGGGTTCCAATATCATGGAAACCCCACCCTAGTGATAAATATAATTAGAGCCCTAATTGGGGGGG